TCCCTTGTGGGCAAACTCTTGACAATCACTGTCAGCTTCATTAAGCAGATCCACCACCTCTTTCACTATATCTTCTGGTATCAGCTTTCCACTCTCCATATAAAATTCACCTGTGTTGTGAAGAGCTCTGAAGTGATATGATTCTTCTCTGAGCTTTGTAATATGTCTATGTAATAAAGAAATGTGAAATTATGTAAGCATTTAAATCTTTTTACCATATAGAAGAACAATTTTAGGAGCCTTGAAGATGAGAAATGTTTCCAAAGATGCCTTAGATAATCTGACTTAAATTTCTTTTGCTATTTTGCAATAAAATGTAGTGATTTGCTATGACAGGGTTATTATAGTTAACATGAAATACCTATAGAGTTCAAAGTAAAAGATACACTTACAACAAAACGAGAAAAACAACCAAAAATCAGCTCAGTCATACCTTAATTCATCCTAACGTGGAATCCCAATTTCCTAAAAATGAACACTCACCTGCCCTAACAAAAGGGAACAACCACAACCAGCCAACAAAACTAAAACTATTCCTTTCTTACCTTTCCCATCAACTGACAGTTTGTGATGTATCAGTCCTCTTGGCTTTGCATACTGGCAGATGACGTTTCCTTCCTCCCCATGTATCCACTGGGCTCCAAGTTCGACTACACCTTGTGGGGGGGTTCGGATGGTGTTGACTCTTCCACCAACGCGATCATTGGCTGTAAATAGATTGGGTGTTGATGATAAAAAGATTGCAGGTAACAATGAGGATGTGTATTAAAATAATTGCAAATATAATGATGATTACAATAATAATAGTCATGACAATAATGATGGTACCAATAATCATAATGAAAATAATGATAATGATAATGATAACAAAGATGATGATGATGATGAGACAAATATTACTAATAATAGTAACAATAATAAAGTCACCAATAACTATGACCATGAAAAAAACAGCAACAATAACTGTAATAATGATGACAACAATATCAATTATAATATCAACTATAGCAGTATTAGCAGTAGAAGTAATAGAAGCAGCAGTAATAGTTATAGTAGTAGTATAGCAGTAGTAACAGTAATAGGAGAAGTGTAGTAGAAGTAATAGTAATAGTAGTAGTAGTAGCAAATAGCAGTAGTAGCAGTCGTAGCAATATTTGTAGTATTAGTAGAAGTAGTAGTAGTAGTTAGGAGTTAGTAATTAGTAGTCTGTAGCAGCAGCAGCAGCAGCGGCAGTAACAGTAGTAGCAGTAACAGTAGCGGCAGTAATAGTAGTAGCAGTTATAGTAGAAGCAGCATTATTAGTAGTAATAATGATAATAATATAAAAATTAAACTATGAAATAAAAACTCACTGGACACTGCTCGTACCTTCCAGAATGAGAACAGAGCGAATTCCTTTGGCCGTCAGCTCTCTTGCAGCCCCAATGCCAGAGGCTCCACATCCCACTATGATGACACTGTACTTTTCCCTTGTTGTTGTCTGTCTGCCTGAAGGGTTATAGGGCAGGCTATGGAAGAATGAACAGGTTGCTGTATTAATGAAGTGTGTGCATGATTCTCTAATCACATTGTTTTTTCTTTGTGTGTGTGTGTGTGTGTGTGTGTGTGTGTGTGTGTGTGTGTGTGTGTGTGTGTGTGTGTGTGTGTGTGTGTGTAAGTGTGCACATAAATGGATGTATGTAGATACATGGGTGCATATGTAGGTGTGTGCATGAATGCATCCCTCGGTGTAAATGTATGTACATGTTTGTGTGTGAATGTATGCATGATTGCAGTGTACATAAAAATGTCTCTGTTAAGAAGTGTCTTCAGGAAGTTCTGTAGTAAAGAAATGCTTTCCCTGGCTGAAAGCCAGTGATATCAATGCAGTATAAGAACAAAGCTAAATTCCAATGGATATGAAAAACAATCTAAATTCAATAATATAAGGTCAATAATAAAGCACCTTAGTATGAAGATAGGTTTCATGTTTCCCTGATAATGTGGATACCATAATGGTATAATACATTCAGCATTGAAAATAAAATACAACATACACACAGATGCAATAAAAAAACAACTAAAAACCTATCATAGACATATCATTCAATGTAAAGCTTGTTTTCTCTTGCAGAATGCAGGTATGCCCATTATCCTACAGTATTACCTATGGGTAAGAGGAATCAAAATATTTTATGCCAATAAGAATATCAGGTTTAACATAGAAGATTATATACAGACACACTGTCCCTCTAGAAAGAAAAAAACGACCCTAGAGCATTACTATTACTAAATTCCAGGTTGAGTTATAATAGGAAGCAAAGTCTGATAAATACACTTAGCTTCATCAACTGATCCTAAATCTGACAAATATTTGTATAAGACAGAGGAGAATTACCTGTGTTTCCCACTGAAAACTGTGCATAGTACTTTTAGGTGAAATTTGAAAATTTTCTAAATCAGTATATCTATAGGATGTACTGGTAATACATTAAATATCCTTATATTTCTGCAGTATTCACAAAACAAATTCTCTTACATGAATTCAAATCAGATAAAAAGAAAAATATAACATGTTTTCATGTCTTAAATCATCTCTTACCTGTTGATGTATCTTAAGATTCTGTCAGCTTCACGCCATCCACTTTCAACAGCACCGTGAACCGTAGAGAAGAATTCAGTGCTAGTGGCTTCTCCCGCAAAACACAGCAGCTGAGACACAAAACAGAAAACAAATGAAAATAATGATCATGTAATACTTATAATGGTAGTCATAATAACAATAACGATGATAATAAGAATAACAAAAATAATAACAGTAATAAAGCAAGCTTCTCTTTCCATATTTCCTTTCCATGTATAAATGCCGAATTGAATAACAATATAAATTTGCTTACAGGTTTGCCCTGAATATTGGTCACGGGTTCAGACAGGTCCTCTGCCCACACATTCATGCTGTCAGTCTTGATACTTCTAAAGCTATAGGATCCACGAGTCCATTTGTTACTTCCCCATTTACTCCTGAAAGTAGTTTTAATTTTGTAAATGTATAATCATTCATATGTTTTTTTCCTAAGCCAATGTTACTGGGAAAATGTTGTGTTCATTGTACTATTGTTTTGTGATACATCTCTGCACATAGATGATTCAGCAAGTGTTTAGCCAGAAAGGAGTCAATTAGCAGACCTTGTAACTTCACCAGATTTCATCTTTCTTAAAGTTTGCAGAAAAAAAGTTTTGTTTACAAATGCTATCAATATCGATGGTGTTATCATCAGTATAAACTCTCTAATTTCTATAGTGTTACTGGTATTTATATCAGCAATATAAGATACCAGAAAATATTTTTAAAAGTCAAGGAAAAGGTTAAACAGGTAAGATAGGCAGTACTTGTAATTGACTCATTGGTGACTTGGTAGTTAGTACAGTGGGCATAGCATATACATACATGCCATACTTGGTAGCTTTAGGTGAAGATAAGCACTACTTGAATCAACAAAATTAATAATCTTTGTATCTATATTAATGAAAACAAAATAGTATTGTATCATTATTATTTTTTTTAGTCTCGTTTCACACAAAATCTACAAGTGTGTTATCTTCATTCACACTTACTTACTAAAGGACAATATGCACAAAATAAATGAATGAAAGAAATAAAGAAAAAGAAAGAAACACAACAAAAGAATAAACACCTTTTACAAAATATTGGATCAGGGACAGTGTATGTCTTTCCAAGGTATTTTCGTAGAACAGAAACGCATCTTTTAGCAACAGCCTCTTCAGGTAAAACCTCCATTGCACGTGCACATTCTCCCCCAACCCAAATGCACATCATTCTTGGCTGTCGATGAGTACTGTAGAATCCCATGAGATGCTCGTGCCAATTCTGTGGGAAAAGAAAAGATATCAAGACAAATTTCTCTTTTACCTTTTTTATATTCATATCATGAACAATAAGAACTATTCCTCCAATGATTCAGGTAGACTAATTTGGTTTTCTTTCCAGCTTCGAGAGTAGTTTCATCCTAATCTCATAATCAGTCTGCTTGAACTTAAAAAAAATCTTATTCTTCAAATGTGCAGAAGACAATCCCCCAAGATCCCTTTTCTGTCACTCCATAAACATCTATATAAACGCACTCATCACAAAGAGGCTCTTCCTTGTTCTCTTACCTCTGGGGTTATGGGTGTCCTCCGAATATCAACGTCAGGAACAAGTGTAAATCCATCGCAGTCACTTGGCCACCAGCGGTATGGGAATTCTATGAAGATCTTGTTAACTAACCCTAAGCAGAGACCCTGAAATATTATTAATAAATTCTGTCATATCAAATTCATGTGTAAATTAATCAGACACAATATTCTACAAACAGAATGATAATGGGAAAATGCAAATATCTTTCAAGATCTGAACCTCTTAATGGCATGGTTATCAAACCTATTAGTGGAAAGGAATACTTTTAAAAATTCACATAAATCACAGCTATTGCTTCTGATTATAAATTTTATCATCTCAATATCAAAATCATATTCATCATCAATCACTCTGAGGAGAAGGAGAAAAAGGAGAAGGAGAAGAAGAAAGAAGAAGAAAGAAGAAGAAAGAAGAAGAAAGAAGAATAAGAAGACAACAAAGAAAATGAAGAAGAAGAAGAAGAAGAAGAAGGAGAAAAAGAAAGAGAGAAAAACATTAACAATACTCAAAACCCACTTCAATTGCCTGAGCTTTCTTCATTGGTAACTGAGGTGTAAATGTCTGAAGATGTGTTGCTTTCAACACACCCAAGGATGGAGTGTACACCACATGGTCAGCTTCAATGATACGTCCAGATGCCAACCTTATTCTGCAACAGCTTGGAGATGATGGTGTTACAGTGCCCCACTCCACACTTGCAACAGGAGAGTTGGTCCAAATCTTGCTTGTTGGAACTTTCTCCTGAAAGGAAAATCTCCATCAGATTTCTAGCATTAATGGAAACCATTATTGTGAGCAATTCTGAAACCATTTCATTCTGATGACAAACCGACAAAAGTCCTGTAAACTTGACCCAAAGCTTAGGCTGGTTAGAAAACCTAACAAACAAACAAAATAAACATAAGTGATCCTGTAAACCAAATCTTTAATCGATTAATAAATAACCAGAAAAGAAAATGCTTGTATACATACTCTCAGAAAATCAATTAAAGTAGAGAATCCGATTTTCCCAGTTCAGGAAAGGGTTGCCAGGGTCCTCTTCCCCCTTGTATTCCAGAAATCCCCGGGCACCCAGCTGGTCCAATGAGTCACAGGCATTGTGGAAGTTCTGATACTTCTCAAAAGTGGCCAGGATGTCATAGCCAAGTTCACCCCACTTCATTCACTTTCTGAAATCTGTTTGAGATTATTATTTCTTTCAATCATTGTGATTCAGCATGCTCCTAGTTTTTTTTTTTTTAAATCATGTTTTCACACTAAGATTCTACCCTATTAGAACCACAGAGATACAGAAAGAATTCAATAGCTTATTTGCAATTCACAGAAAAAAAAGAAAAGACAAAATTATATAGTTAAACACAATTATTAAAAATTGAAAAATTCTCTCACTGCACTTACTGCTCATGCAAAAAATCGCCAAAGGAGCCTTGGTACCTCCTAAGGGCATCTTCACTCTCCTTCTCAATCTTGATCAAGGCATTCAGACAGGCTTTCCAAATGGCAGGATCAACGACTTTCCCTCCCACTTTAATGAACACACGATTGTCACCCAGGCCTGAGGTGAATGAAGATGCTGTGGTTATATCTGCTAGTGAGGAGGACACAAAAGAGCCTTCTCCTTAGAAAAGATGTGATGTGGTGATGATAATCCAATTGGCACAGATGACAAGAATACATGCCATGCCCACTGTAATATAAGTTTATATATTGTACTTACTAATAGATGGCTCTACAAGTGCTTAATCACCAAGGAGTCACCTTTTCCTTGACTTTTTGAAAGGGTCTTGTGTATTAATTCATTGTCTTAAATATTACCAAGATGTAAATAACAATTTACAAACCATAACATCAATAACAATAATAAAAGTATCAATATCAAATTTATTAAAAAGAAAAACATTTTCCCTCCAATTCAAGGAATGGGGAAATCAAGATCAGTAACTAATAAGACTCCTTGCTGGCTGAGCACATGTGAGCCATCTGTATGTAACAAAATTCACAAAAAACTACAGGGGACAGAACATAAATCCATAATGGTTGGGTTAAGGATGACACTGATGATGATTCTTACAGTTCTATGCAATACAGTGATGTGAGTATTTTAAAACAAGTTATCAAAATATTTTGTACAACATCATTTTGTATTGTGTTAATCCTCATAATAATGAAATATGATAAAATGCTTACCTGTCTGTGTAAGTGTTACAGTCTAATCAGCTTCATTAATGGATTTTGCAATATGTGCTACAACATTCCTCTCCTCTCCATGCATCCAATGGGCTCCCAACTCAATCAAATGATCTCCTGAAATTTTTAAATCAAAGCAGGAAGAAAATTAGCAAAACAAGCAATATTTACCAAGATAACACAATATTTGAGTAATTAATAATTTCTAATTGTTCTATAACCCAATTTCTGGTACAGACAGTCAAAGACAGCTATAAATGAGTGAGTCTGAATTTTTACCCGGACAATATTCTGGTTCATGGTAGGAACAACATGACCTCATCCAGATGTTACCATAACATGACAGCATGTCACCTGTCACCACCAATTGGTTCAAAGACTGTGTTATCATTAAACACAATCCTGGCATCTACTTACCAATAATTATAGTAAAAGAAATCATAAAAATATGCACAACAAAACCCAGATCATTCTTCCTTCAATAACCTGAAGAAATGAAAACAAACAACAAAAGCCTCAACAGGAATCAACTGCCCTCATCTTAATATACAGTAAGGAAGAACATGTAACAGATACAAACCATGTCTGAATGTATGTATCCTTCCCCCTAGTTCTCCCTGGGCTTCGAGTACCAGAAGACTTTTCTCCCCTGCCTCTGCGAGTCTCTGAGCCACTGCTAGTCCAGCTGCTCCTCCACCTACTATGCACACTTTCACATGCAC